AGATGAGAGCAATGAAGAAAAATAAAGCAGATTGAAGTGGGGAGTCCTAGAATTGGAGATTGAGTGGTGTAATTTTATAAGTATGTTGGTCATGCAAGAGCTACCTGAAAAGATAATCCTATGCTAGTATAATAAAAGCCTAATATGTTAAGTGTCTGGTCATCCAGTTGGCCATTCAACCAAAGTGTAATATGCTAATGATATGCTAAGGCCGCTCAACCACTCGCTATGATGTGCACTGACCACCACCGGGGGCAGATGATCCAACCAGTAGGCTAGCTTGCTGCTGGGGTGGAGCCCTCCCGCAGTCCCTCCCTGGCTGGCCAACTTCCCATGTCCCTCCCTGGCCCCGATCGTGCACCGGTGGGGTCCCTCAGCCTGGTCTGTGCCCTCTCACAATCCAGGACCCCTCGGGGGATGTCGGAGAGCCGGTTTCAGCCCAATCCTGCAGGCCAGGCCAAAGGACCCCACTGGTGCACGAATTCATGTACCAGGCCTCTAGTATTTGTTAAAAGTAAAAACCTAAAGGAGGCTGGGAATGAGCCGTGCATATTACTGAAGGAAGAGAATGCCAGACAAAGGAACAGCAAATGCAAAAAGCCATGAGAGAGGAGTGTGCCTGGCATGTGCAAGGAGCTCAACAACAGGCTCCTGTGGCTGACATGGAACGAGCATGAGAAGAGTCGTAGCACATACAATCAGAGGTAATAGGCATTAGGTTCTAAGCAATTGTAACTTTAATTTTTATTCTGAGTGAGATTGGAAGTCATTGGAGGTTTGAGCAGAGAAGTATTTGTGAGCTGACCTACATTTTAAGTTTACTCTGGCTGCTGTGTCAAGAATAGACTGAGGAAGGTAGGTGTACGGAGTGGGGAAGGCAAGTACAGAAGCTGGGAGACCATTAAAAGGCTTTGCAGTATTCCATTTCCTGAGTTTGGAAGGACAGCAGGTTATTTTAAGGATGAGGAGGAGAGAGCAGGAATTTATTTTGGACATGTTCATTTGAAATACTATCTAAGTAAACATACCAAGTAGGCAGTTGGATATATACGTGATAATTGACATCTAATAAGCAAGGTAGGTATTGATGTATTAAAGCTCTTGGAAAATAGTTCCCCAACTTATCTGGGTTATACCTGTTAGGATAGTTAATTTAAAAAAAACAAAACAAAGGACCTCCCTCCTACTTCCAAAGCAATCAATATCATACTCTTTAAGGTTGACTTAGTTCTCTTTAAAAGTAACTGCCATCTGGATTGGAATCGAACTGGCTTCATACTGTGTTCCCTTGATTCTTTTATGCCTTAACTCCTGAGGAGTGATTGGCATATCCTTGGAGAATCTAGTATTCTTTGTGAATACATATGTTATTCTTCCTTAGCATATAGATGTTATTTTAGCTGAGTGATTTGAAACTAAAAGAGCCCACATATCACCCCATCCCTGCTTCATTCAGTATCAATTTATGTAATGAGAGAGATGTTGGGATTATGTTATGCACATAAATGATGTAGAGGTAGGAAAAAAGGATGAGAAATGAGTATTTAATTCCATTTGCTCAACATCTTCACCTTAATTTCATGCAACAGATATTCATTGAGCCACTAGTATGCTAGTGAAAAATGAGAGCCCCTGCACTCAAGGAGCTCATTGTGTTCAGGGCGAGGCAGGTGTAAAGTTAGTACTAAACCAATTGTATGCTGCAGTGGAAGTGTATGCACTGGGAGCTATACGGGGAAGGATAAGAGCTATCCTGAGAAATCTCAAGCTTGAACTGAATCTTAAGATTACATAGAGCCCTGGCCAGGTAGCTCAGTTGTTTAAAAGCAACATCCCAGATCAGTGGTCGGCAAACTGCGGCTCGGCAAACTGTGGCTCGCACATGCGGCTCTTTGGCCTCTTGACTGTGGCTCTTCCACAAAATACCGGCTCTTCCACAGAATACCGACTTCTGCACATGGGCCACAAAGTTCCAATCGCACTGTACATGCGTGCCTGCACGTGGTATTTTGTGGAAGAGCCGCACTCAAGGGGCCAAAGAGCCGCATGTGGCTTGCGAGCCGCGGTTTGCCGACCACAGTCCCAGGTTATAGATTCAATCCCTGGTCAGGGCATATACAATAATCAACCAATGAATGCATAAGTAAGTGATGCAACAAATCTCTCTCTCTCTTTCTCTCTCAAATCAATAAATAAAAATTTTTAAAAAAAGATTACATATTTTCCAGACAGCTAAAACTTCAGACGACTTTATTAAGTAGAAAGAACAGCAGGTAAAGAGGCACAGAGCTGTGAGTTTGAAATGCATCTCAGGCCAAGAGTAAAAGTTTGAGAGCTGCAAAGTGCAGATTTTGAAAAACTAATGGAAAAGAGCTGAAACACTTCCTCCCAAAGAGTGATCTGTGTGCAGTTGATCTTGTCAAAAGATGATATTTTACCAAGGGCACAGTAGCAAGAAGAGGCATTAAGCTAACGGTTTGCTAATAGGCCTTTTTATCTCTTCCGATCTCTTAACATAGTAGTAGTGCTACATTTGAGCATGTGTAAGATGTCCGGTAAGTCTAATATGATCGTCCTTAATTATGAAAAATTCTGAGTAAAAACGGTAAAACGGAAGACCGGGAATTTTTCCTTAACAAACACTTGTTATAATACTTATTTTAAGGCACCATTCTAAGTGCTTTGCAAATATTAACTCATTATCTTATAATAACCCATGCATTCAGTACTGTTGTTATCTCCATTCTACAGACAGGAAACTGAGTGGGTACTACTTGCCCAAAATCACACAACCAGTAACAAGAATCAGAATTTGAAATCACGTCTGATCTGGTTCCCAAGTTCATGTTCTGAACCACTGTGTCCATTGTTTCTGCTTTTCCCAGCTTCTCAGAATTATGTAGAACAGAAGTCCAGGAACCCTGAAATTGTATGTCAAATGTTGCACGCACATTTTTCAGAAAGAGGGTCCATGGCCTACGTCTATGTATTAAAAGCATCCGCAAGCATAATGGTTTAGCACTGCTAACCTAACCTAGAGGAGCTTTTCATGTCCGTTTCATTGCTAAAGAGCTCCAATTGGAATATGGATTCCCTCACAACAAGATATTTAAGTTTTTGGTTAAGTACCACCAATATTATTCCTTGGAGGACAAGGATTATCCTGTATTCTTTATATATCAAATGGTTAGGACATAGTAAACATTAATAAACAAATGAATGGCACATTGTGAAATATGGCTGCTTTATATTCAAAGATAATAGTAGATAATCACTTTGCATTTCACATAAGACCTTCATGTAACCACATTACACCACCCCAGTTTTCACCTCTAAATGCCCTTTATAGAGCTGGCACTCCTCTATCCTCTTGGTGCCCTTATTTGAAATGAGTTCTCCTTCTCTCAATACTAACTAAATATTAATTAGACAATGCCTCTTTCCCAGAGGCCCACACTGGTATAAATCTTTTGAAGTGGTACTCTAGCACCTCTAAAATGTCAAAAGTCCCTCTTTTCCTAAGGTTAATTTCTCCACTTATATTCACCATTCTCTAACTTCTTGAGAATCCTGCTGTTCCAGCATTTTTGGCATCAGATTATGTGATATAGATCACTCCTAGGAGGTTGGTAATTGAAAGGTTAAAAACACAGTTACTCCTGTTATTTGCAGATTTTTAATATTTTCTACAACTTTTGTGATATGCTATGTTAGTACAGTTTTGGTAATATTATACTTAAAATCCTTTTATTCTTGAAATATTAATGTTTATTGCTTATAATATTATATGTAAGATCATTTTCTTGAATAATTGGTGTTTATTGCATGTAACATTATCATATTTAAAATCGTTTTTCTTGGAAAAAAGACACACGCAAGTTACAAGGAAAGTAATTGATGAATTCTTCTGGGAGAGAGAACAGAAAGACTGTCAAGTAGACATAACCAAACTATGGAGGAGGAAATAAAGGTACTATTTAAGGTTGGGAAGATAGTAAGTCTTTGGAAAGAGGATATATGGAGCTCATAGCCAAAGTTTGATGAAGAGTAGATATGCTGTTGAAGTGTGGGCATTTGTCCCCACAAAGAAGTGTTGGGGGTGGGGATATAGTGGTGCTAGATAGGCACTCCCCCCACTCTTTGTTTTCTTAGAGCAAAATGAAAGAGAAATGGGCATGGTTACTGATTATAGAACTTGCCCAGAGAAATGTTTTCCTGCAGTGCCAAGAGCATAACTAGGAAAGTCACTAATGACAGAAACCAGTGGGAAGTGGTGGTTTAAAGCAGTTCTCCTCCTCTTCTCCCTTCTTACAGTGTATGGTTCTTATAATCTGCCTCACTGGAAGCTGCCTGTTTCTGAATGTATATGCCAACCAGTGTTGCCCCTGAATAAAAATACTTTTTAAAAAATATAAACAGCGTGCTCTGAATTGAAAGGGCCATGGAAGCTTGTATTGTGAGAAGAAAACTCATTTCTTTGCTTGCTCAAAGGCTTTTTCTTTATTTTGGAGAGGGGAGGATCAGGTTTTAGGGTCATACAAATTGCATTTGAGCCTGGTCCTTCTGTGTACTAGCAGTGTGACCCTGGATCTTTTTGAACCTCAGTTCCGCATCTGTAAAATGAAAAGGGAGTGACAACTACTTTGGGATGGTAATAATGAGTATTAGAAATTATATCATTAATAGGTAGGTGGTAGCAGCAACTACTGTTAATAACCATAGAAACAAAGGAATAATTGAATAGAATTCTGGGTATGGAACTTGTGTCTTGAATTCATTCCCCCTGGAGCTCCTCCTAGAGAGAGGTGGTGTTGCAGGTTGTCCCAGTACTCACTCTGACAGTGCAATGAGTAAGGATATACTTTGCAATGTATGGGCTGGTGTGTCTTGATTTGAGGGGTCCTGCTCTATCTAAAGGAGAAAAGAAATAGGGTGATATATTTCAAGACACATAAATGTTCTTTTCTGTGTTCTAATTTTCCCTTGTTCTTTCCTGGCAGGTAGCTGTGAAAAACAATATTGATGTCTTCTACTTCAGCTGCCTCATCCCACTCAATGTGCTTTTTGTAGAAGATGGCAAAATGGGTGAGTATGTCCTCCTGTCCTGGCAACTATACCTTTGCCCTTCCTCTGAATGTTAGGCGGAGCATAGCCCAAAAGTACAAGTTATTTTTTTTAAATATATTTTATTGATTTTTTACAGAGAGGAAGGGAGAAGAATAGAGAGTTAGAAACATCCATGAGAGAGAAACATCGATCAGCTGCCTCTGCACACCTCCCTACTGGGGATGTGCCCGCAACCAAGGTACATACATGCCCTTGACCGGAATCGAACCTGGGACCTTTCAGTCCGCAGGCCGACACTCTATCCACTGAGCCAAACCGGTTAGGGCAGTACAAGTTATTTTGAAGTTTGAAAAAAAATGGGATGGGTAAGGCTATTCTAAAGCTCTAATAATTGCTAATTATATATTCGCCTGAGTCACAGTGGTCTTGTTTTGCTGTTGGTCTCTAAATTACAATGCCATTTTTCTGAGTCACCCCAGCATACAGAGTATAGGCATACCTCATTTTACTACACTTCACAGGTACTGCATTTGGAAGTTTGTGGCAATCCTGCATTGAGCAAGTCTGTTGGTGCCATTTTTCCAACATTTGCTCACTGGTTTCTCTGTCACATTTTTGTAATTCTCTCACTATTTCACACTTTTTCATTATAATTATAGTAATTTGTAATAAACCACTAATATTACTCATGTGGTTGTTGACATTTCTCTCTTCCCTTACTTATAAAAGCACCATCTAATAAAACTAGTATATATTGGTACATATTAAATTGTATTGGCACTTAATTGACTTGGTTCTTACAGTCCTCTTTGGGTAAGCATGACAGACATATGGTGAAATTAAGGATCAGAAAGGTTACAAACTTACCCAAAGTTACCAAATAGGAAAAACAGTAGAGCCAAAACTAAACCTTACACGTAAGCTCTTCCAATGTATCTTAGTACTACTGATGCGGGATTAATTGACTTGGAGTATAGCATCTCTGCATGGCCAAAAATTGGCTCCAGGCCCAGGCTACCCCTGGCTGTATTGCTATTGTAAGAACCAGCACTCGAAAGGAGAAATGGTGCAAGTCATCAGAAATCAGAATATTGACAGATTGTGCACATCCTTCCTTTCCCTCTGCTTCCCCATGCAGAGCGCCAGGTCTTTCTTGCAACATGGAAGGATATTCCCAATGAAAATGAACTTCAGTTTCAGATTAAGGAATGTCATTTAAATGCTGGTGAGTAATGACTACATTTAATTTTTTGTCTTTATTTACCTCTTCTTTTTATACCTACCTTGTTTCTAGTGGTTATATGGTAGATATATTACTTTGCAAACTTCTCTTTAAAAACCTGAGATGTTTTGATGTAGATACTAGATTACTATAAGCCAACAGATTTAAGAAACAAGCTAGAATGGTTCCATCTTCACAGTTCAGTAGTTGAACATGTGTTAGTCATATTATTTGAACATCCTATAAGCCATCGAATAATTGAAATGGCATTTAAGGATGTATACTCTCCCTAGAATTAAAAGGACTATTTTTCCTTTATTATCTACCTTCAGTATGGAAGGAAAAGTGACTCTGATATCCTTATTTAGAATCTTGTGTTTGTTATTAAATAAGAATACATCATAGTTGATTAAAGACTAGTTGGTAACCTTTTTCTTTCTTGCCTTGTATCAGCATTTATCATGATACTAACCTCTTTAGTCGCCATTAAAAAACCCCAGACCCTTTTGTAGTTATTTTTATTACCATATTACCATAATAGAGGTAACACAAGAGGAGAAACAACAGCAGCTGTCAGTCCCTAGGGCTTTGATTCACTGAAGTGTTCCTCACGAGTGGAAGGAGCACTAAGCTCTTCAGAGTCCTGCCTTTGTCCAGTCTCTTTAGGTTAATACAAGGTTAAGTTTAAATAAAAGTTAGCCTTGGTGCTTGGTCCATACCTCCTTTTTCTTTATTTACCCCTCATTTCATTCCCCATATGTTGCCGGTTCTCATAAGTGTTTTTCTTATGCTGCCATCCCCTTATAGCTAGAGCATAGTACTGAAAGAGGCAGTATGGCAGGTACAGAGAGGAAAAAACTGTCTTCTCGCTCCAAATTTTTCTTTTTAATTTTAGTGTTTTGGGCTCTATGATGTATTCATGCTCTGTTCAGACAGATCTTTTCTGACAAGGTTTCTCCAGAGCCCTTGGAGAGGTGTTTGAGGAGATAAGTCTTCTATAATTTTTATTGTAATAACTAGTTAATTGATTTTCTTCAGGTATACCATATATCTGCCTTCTTTCCAATATATTCTTGGTCTAGGTTTCTCACCATGACTGGTTATGTCTTTATGCAACAAAACCAGAGTTTTTGCTGTTACTAGTACACATGTGTGCACACGCGCGTGCACACACACACGCACACAACCATGCTCAAATTGAGCTGCTTTTTGTGCCATGTTCTAGGTAGATGGCAGTGTTTCCTGTCACTCTCTGTGAGGTTCACCACAAAACTCATTTGATGAGTGTAGGAGGTTGGGCAACTTTCCACAGTACAACAAGCTGTTCTTCAGGAGGACGTCAGGTGCTTCAGGAAGCTTTCAGGTCCACGCTGGCTGCTAATGCTAAGAGCCAGCATGGATCCTGTTAAGAGAAGCAGCCTCTGTACCCAGCTTGGAAAAGCCCAAGCCCTTCGTTATAGTTACCCTTGTGGTAGTTGGTCCTTTGTCAACATTTCGTATATTATGCTCCTGAAAACATTTGTTCTTTTAAAGGGGGGGTGGGGGGATGGTCCTATGGTCAATTAAAGTTGAAAAAATGCAGTGCACGATGTGCCTGTCTTAGAAGTTGCTATTGCACATTAGCACACTAAAAGCTGAGGAGTCCTACACTGAGAACACCTATTTAGATCATTGTTGACTGGCATTTAAAATTACAGAATGTTAACATTTTTTGGAACACAAGAGTTCCTTGAACACGATCTGGGAAACATTGGCCTATAGACACAGAGAAAGGCCAGACTAATTGGAAAGATTTGGTTTCTGACATCCAGTATGAAAGGAATATGCTTTAAACGGGAGGGGAGGAAGTTTGGATAACTTAGTCTGGCCTGCCAAAATAATAGAAAAGATCTCCCTGCTTCCAGATTGGAATCGTGAGCACTCTTGTACCTTGATGTACATTCGTGATCTTGCCAAAGAAGTATCTGGCCTTTCTCCCAGTGGGGCTGTGTCCTCTGATGTAGCCTGGACCAGTTTCTCGGAGCAATTCCGTTCTGATCAGTTCTGCCATGGCTCCATGCCAGTTTCTCCTGGCCTTGGGTGCTCCAAATGCCAGCGAATGGGCTTTCCGGCGTTACACAGCTCTGTGGTGGCACAGCACATGGAGTAGAAGGAGAGCAGCCTCTCTGTGTTCTCCAGGAGCCCAAGCTATCATTTTCCCACACTAAACCACTGCTAGTCTTTCAAGAAGCTAATCCTTTCTCGCTTTCCATCTGCTTCCATCTCAAGGTCTGGAGTGCCCTGGCCTTTGCACTTCCTTCCATTCTTGAAGCTCTATTAACATGAATGTTTCCAGGTTTAGTGCCTTCTGATTCAACACCCTGGGTCTAGCTGAGAGCTAAAAATACCATCCTTTCCAGCTGATCTGCCCTAATCACAATAGCACCAACACTTTAAATAGCTTTTCTGTGCCAGAGTAGACATTTGACAGATGGCAGTAACAGTCTGAGGGCTATGGGAAGTTACAAGCTTAAAGGACTTACCAACCTAGCATTGAGCTTTTACTTTTGCTCCTCCATTTCTTTCTAAAGAAGAAACTCTCTTCCCAAGCCTTAATAATTAATCAGATCTTAATAGAAAGGCATATGTGATAGGGGTGCTTGTGGTGCCACTAGTTATGAAAATACTAGATCAGAAAGGCACTAACTTATGGGTCTCCCTGCTTTCTAGTACTAGTCATCTCTACTGGTGTCAAGAGATCTGTATGAATCTGTTTTGTAGCTTACCATTATAGCTGCATTTAGGGTTGGTATATGTCTGGGACCACTGTCTTAAGTAAATAAGTAGTTGCATCTCTAGCCATATCTAGAAAGGAATCTTTCTGGCAAGCAGTCTACAAACCTTTTTTTTTTTATGTTTATTATGCTCTGAAAAGCTCAGAGGCATGTTGTATATACAGGGGTAGGCAAAAGTAGTTTTACAATTGTTCATATGGAAAATAACACAATAATCTATATATAAAAAAGCCTTAAGCGACTGTTATGACTGGAACGACCGGTCAACCAGTCGCTGTGACACACACTGACCACCAGGGGGCAGACGCTCAACACAGTAGCTGCACCCTGGTGGTCAGTATGCTCCCACAGCCAACCTCCCATGGCCCCTCCCCCACACACACACTGGCTGGCCTCCTGCGGCCCCTCCCCCTGCCAACTGTCCCCCTGATAGGCCCCGATTGGGGGGAGGCCAGCTGGCCAACCTCCCGGGGGCCCCCCCCCCCGCCCACCCCCCCCCCCCCCCATAAGCTTAGATCGCTGGCCAGGCCGAGGGACCCCTCCCATGCACGAACTTGTGCACCAGGCCTTTATTAAGTTAATAAATAATACAAGAATAAACTGTGTTACATGTACTCACAACTGTAAACCCATTTTGTCACTAGTTAGGCACTGTCATGAGGGACATATTTTTTTTTTGGCAGGAGAGCTAGGCCAGGGTGAGCTCTGTTTCTTTATTTTGGTGTGGTTCTCCCCATCCTCTGTGACATCTCATAAATGGAAATGTTTTGCCAGCCAGTACTTAAATATAGTTTGGTTGTTCAAATGGTAAAAAATGTTATTTTCAGCAGTAATAGTGGTTTTGAACTTGCTAATGAATACCACAGGTGGGTGCCAAATGCAAATTCCCCTCTTCCCACTCTCTAAGCACCGTCTTTACTCTTACTGCTGCTGGAAGAGGCGACTTAGCTAAAGTAGGAAGATGAAAGAAGGGAGACCACATCTATTCCTTCTAAGATTTTAGGCCCCAGACCCAAAGAGCCAACTTTGAGGAAGACAAATGAACCAGAATAAACCACATCTTGAGGCAAGTACAGTTGACCCTTGAACAGTGCAAGAGTTAGGGACGCTGACCACCATGCAGTCAAAAGTTTGCGGATAACTTAAGTCAGCCCTCCACATACACAATTTCCAACCACCACTTGACCCGTGAACACTCGGATTTGAACTGCTTGGGTCAATTGAAAAACCCACTTCTAAGTGGACCAGGCATTTCAAGCCTGTGTTGTTCAAGGGTCAGCTGTATAATTATATTTGACCATCTTTTTTTTACTCTTTGGGGCACAACTCAGTGTCTTAACATTACTTCTTATTCTCAAAGTTTCAAAACTGTAAGATTCCATCTTGTTTCCCAAGAGTTCGGGTGTGTGAAAAATACCTGATACCTTGTCAGGAAGTGTATCCCAGTCTGGCTGGGAAGCCTTATTGCTTTCATTGCCATTTTTAATAGGTATATTTAGTAGAGTCTGATTATCCTGCCATCTATACATCCTCAAGCTCAAACCTAGTATCTAAGATTCATAAAAATTGACTCACACATATTCTTAAGTTATTGAACACGCCCTCCATTCCGTATTTCGATAGAAATAATGCCACAGCCATTCAGGAGGAGCAGAGCCAGGTTCCTGGCCAGAATGCTTCCAAATGTATTATAGTTACATCCATTCAACTTGCTTACTCTGCCTGGCTGATGGCCATGTTTTCTAATTCTAGAAGGGGTGAGTGTGTATGTGTATTTGTATGCTTCTGCTTCTTAGCCTATCATCTCTTACAGAGGTGGTAAATCATGAAATGTCTTCAGGAATCTTGGCCTTGTTGTATACATTGTCTAGAACATATTTGTACCTATGCAACAAGGTGGCTCTTCAATAAAGGATCCTACCGAGTGTGCTTTCCACTTCCTTGGAAATGGGCAAGAGCCTTGAAAGTTAGGAATGGCTTTACAACTTAAAGCAAGCCCCCATGTTTTAAAGACAGCCCTGTCAAAAGGTATTAGCCACACTCCAGCTGGTAACATTGCCTAGTAACCCAGTCTAGGCTGCAGGAATCCTTCAATGTGAGAACCAAGGTGACAATCAGAACTGCCTGGTCCCTCAGAGGTGAGTAAAAAAGCATATTGAGGCCCCCTTCTCCAACAGTATTGCGTATAACTAATAACTAACCTAAGATACACATTCTGGCTCCTCAAAGAGAGCCAGTTCTTAACTACTCTGCTTGGTGCTAGTGAAAACCTTTGAAATTAAAAGGGAAAAAGTTAAGTAATAACTGGGTGTAGTGAAAATGTTCAATGAATGGACTTTAGTGCCTCCTCCCCTGAGCTTTCACTGGTTTGCCCGTGGGAGAAAGATGTCAGGGCAAGATGGTTTTTTAATGACTATGATGCTATATACATATCGGCATCACCAACACCTGAGTCAGAGGCCTATTCACAGGTATTGATGGCAGGTATCCATTGCGTCCCAGGTACTGTGGGAAGCACAGTGATGAAAAACTTCAGGATTCCTGTGCTCAGAGAGCTTCCGGTCTAGGAGAGCATAAAGACTGTCCGTCGTGGCAACCTTTTCCTAGAGAGCACAATAGAATATGACAGATTTTTATATGGAAAGAAGTTAGTTCCTGAAGTTGGCATGAGTAAATTAAATTCTCATCAGAAGTGAACATAATAAACTGTCAACCAAGAAGCAGTGTTCATAATCTCTATTAAAGTTTCTCTTTGATGCTGCAACATCTTCCATATTAGCAGTAAGAAAACAAGAAGAGAGAAATGACCTTTAATTCTAAAATGTCATGTCTCTTTGATGCTGTGGTCACAAGGAAGGCCCCATTCTGTTGTTACCTGGATTGGTGACTAAGGGCCTCCAATCTGTAACGAGCAACAGCAGCTGAGGTTACGGGGCCTTGTAATAATCATCTTTGTACAATTTCAGTATTTCTCAAAGTCTTTTATTGAGATAGTTTGTTTCATTATTAATTTGAAGTCATGGTATTCCCTACAAGCTTTAGGAATCATTTGCCTGCTTTAAAAAAAAAAAAAAAACTTAAACGTCCATGTTAAAAAATTTGACTTGCAGGATTTCTGCAACTCTGCTGTTTTCTGATTCTGGCCGTTGAGGCCAGAGGGGCTCACAGTGAAGTAGTAGTGACTAGGAAGTAGTGTGGTAGATTTGATCGTCAGTCTGCGTCTCCTGTGACTCTGGGACCAGCGTTCCAAACATGAATACCAACACAGGAGTCACCCTGGCACACTCACACCCATTTCTGTCTTTGTCCTCTTCAGACCATTTTTACCTGTCTAGCACCAGTTAATACCAACCTCTTTGACCTACCGTTTCTCCTCAGGTATTTCTTATACTAATACTTAGCTGCCCCTTGTCCTGTTTTCTGTCCTGGAATGTGATAGGCACTTCAAGAGCCTCTTCCTCACCCTTTGCTGTTATGGGAGAAGGGCTTTCTGAAATGTGCGCATGGAATGGTACTTGTTGGGATTTCAGCACATGTGGCCATTAGGATGTCAGGAGAGAGTTAGTAAGCATTTGCTTGATATTTTGAATCTGTGTTTCTAGACACTGTTTCCAGCAAGTTGCAAAACAACAACGTTTATACTATTGCCAAGAGGAATGTGGAAGGGCAGGACATGCTGTACCAATCTCTGAAGCTCACTAATGGCATTTGGATCTTGGCTGAGCTACGTATCCAGCCTGGAAACCCCAATTATACGGTAAGGCCCTTCTCGGAATGGGTGAGATGGGTTCAAGGAGGGAGGTAAGAGCCCTTTCATTTTTTCTTAGCACCCTGGAAAGACCTGGAAGAGGTGCTTCAGACCCCATATGTCAAAACAAGTAGTCAATAAAGAAGTCCTCCGTTGCCTCTTTGGAAGACCTCTTTACAGTGGCTGCCCTATCAGCACAGGCATGGTGCCTCTGCAGCAAGAGTGCCTCACTTTCCCTAAAATATATAGAGTTGCTTACAAAACAGGGCAACTTTTTCAGTCTCAATTAATACATACCTAGCCTGTCTGTGCATGTGGCCCCATAACAAGCTCATTTCAAGGAAGCCTTCTTTCCTGCTTTTGGAGTTCACGACCTAATGGTATCGGAGTCGTGAACACCTGAGACTTTTTGTTTTTTAGCATTATTCATCCTGAAATACTTTTATGAAAGGTAAGGCAAAATGGAACACATTTTTGGCAGCCTAAAGGGAACGTTAGTTTAGAAAACTTCCTTCAGTGCTACAATGGATTAAAATTTAAATGCTGACAGTGCTTTTAGGACAGGAGCACATTCCTTTGTTAAGCAAGATTTATACCCTAGACACTGGGCATTTGTTTGCTGTTCTCAAATGTGATCTCCCAATAGGATGTTGTTTGTCATCTGCATTTTGCAAAGTAAAGGTAAAAACAACTTGGGGTGGGAAACATATTTTATTCTTTTGTTATGTTTGAGGTTTCTGTAGGCTGTTTTAAAGGAGGGGACAGGAAAGCGATAGAAGAGAATAAGATTCAATATTGAATAACTCTGGAGAAGCTAATTAGTAGATTAAGGGAGCCTTTTAGCCATTTAGCTGATAAAAGTCTGTGATCGAATTCCTTAATTTTAATAGTCAAGTCTGTTTTCACTAGTATGCATCAAGGTCATAGTACCATCCAGAACTGAAAATTCTTAGTGTTTTTCCCACTAGTTCCCTCCCTTGGTGAGCATGTGTGTGAGCTGCTGAGTCCTATCAAGTCATATTATTGCCCAAGCATTTGTGAGCTGGGAAACTTTGGGCTTCCCTCATAAAGTGTACTCTCCTCCCACCCACCTTGTCCACCACCAGTCCATGTGTTTTTGTCCATTCTTTTATTTTTCATCTCAGTTGGGTCAAAGAAGCATGGTTATCTCAGGAAACCAAAGTTAAGAATGATTAGTAACGCCCTAGCTGATTTGGCTCATTGGATAGAGCATTGGCCTGCGGACTGAAGGGTCCCGGGTTTGATTCCAGTCAAGGGCACATGCCCAGGTTTTGGGCTTAATCCCCAGTGGGGGGGCATACAGCAGGCAGCCTATTGATGATTCTCTCTCATCATTGATGTTTCTATCTCTCCCCCTCCCTTCCTTTCTGAAATCCATAAAAAAAATTTTTTTTTAATTTTTTAAGTTTAATTTCTTCATTTGAAATAATTTGACTTGCAAAAAGTTTTTTAGCCGTGACCGGTTTTGCTCAGTGGATAGAGTGTTGGCCTGTGGACTGAGGGGTCCCGGGTTCGATTCCGGTCAAGGGCATGTGCCTTGGTTGCGGGCACGTGCCTTGGTTTCGGGCACATTCCCAGTGGGGAGTGTGCAGGAGGCGGCTGATCGATGTTTCTCTCTCATCGATGTTTCTAGCTCTCTATCTCTCTCCCTTCCTCTCTGTAAAAAATCAATAAAATATATTTAAATTAAAAAAAAGTTTTTTAAATGGTACATAGAGTTCCCATGTGTCTTTCACCCAGCTTCCCCATTGATAACATCTTACATTTCCATTGTGCATTTTCAAATGGAAATGATATTGATAAAATAATACTAACAAGACCACAGATGAGTCTTTCTAGTACTCTGTTGTGTAGTGTACAATACTATGAAATCTTATCACATGTATAGATTTGTATAACTACCACTACAGTCAGAACCCAGAACTGTTCCATCGTAACAAAAACTCCCTCTTGCTATCTCGTTATATTTAGACTCTCACACCTGCCCTAACCCCTGGAAACCACTGATATGTAGTCCTCCATTAAATTCATATAACATGTAACATTTTGAGACTATTTTTTTTTTCACTTATTACAATACCCATGATATCCACCTAAATTGTTGCATGTATCAATAGGTTGTTCTTTTTTAGACGAAGTCGTAATCCACTATATAGATATACAACAGTTTATCTGTTCACCTGTTGAAGGACATTTCCTACCCTATATATTTTTAAATTTTTCATTTTGAGATCATTTAGATTCACATGCAGTTGTAAGAAATAGTCCCATGAGACCCTATCCGCACGGTGTGCCCGTTTATACCCACTACCACCTCTCTGCCTCCCCTGTATTTGTATATAATAAGTTTGTTAATGTTTCCTTGTCCCCTTTCCTATTTTCTATCCATCTGGTGACTAGGTTCCTACTGCCCACAAAACCATCTAAATTTTTCTTTACAGTCTGACACAGGCCTAATCCATTCCCATAAATGTGTTCCAGACTTCAAAATCTTTCGGATCCATTTCCTTCCCCTCATCACCCTAAACACCCATTGTACTATTGATCTGATCTCAGCTACCAATTTAGGAGGAAACAAATCTGTCTGGTTGAGCCCAGTACCAGTGCATGAGAACTGATAGTCCCTTACTCTTCTGAGAGAATGATAAATTATTCCCCCACCCCAATCCTTACTGTATTTCATTACAAAGGTTTTTTTTTGTTCTTGTTTTTTTAATGTCCTGGCCAGGTGGCTCAGTTGGTTGGAGCATCATTCCGTAAACCAAAATTTTGCAGGTTCAATTCCTGGTCAGGACACATACCTAGGTTGCAGATTCGATCCCCAGTCGGAATATGTATGGGAGGCAGCCTTTTGATGTTTCTTTTTCTTTTCTTTTCTTTCCTTTTCTTTTTTAATATATTTTATTGATTTTTTTACAGAGAGGAAGGGAGAGGGATAGAGAGTTAGAAACATCGATGAGAGAGAAACATCGATCAGCTGCCTCCTACACACCTTCCACTGGGGATGTGCCCGCAACCAAGGTACATGCCCTTGACCGGAATCGAACCTGGGACCTTTCAGTCCACAGGCCGACACTCTATCCACTGAGCCGAACCGGCCAGGGCGTGATGTTTCTATTTCATATTCATGTTTCTCTCGCTCTCTCCTTCCCCCTCTCCCCTTGTCTCTCTTCCCCTCTCCCATCCTATCTGAAATCAATAATATCTATAATAATAAAAACATATTATGCAAATCAACCGAATGGCTGAACAGTGCAACAACCTTCCAGACAACCTTCCGGGCTGTGAGGGGTTGCAAGAGCCGGGACTGCGAAGGCCTACTCTTGCACAGATTTTGTGCATCAGGCCTTTAGTCCAGGTGTGGGCAAACTTTTTGACTCGAGGGCCACAATGGGTTCTTAAACTGGACCGGAGGGCCGGAACAAAAGCATGGATGGAGTGTTTGTGTGAACTAATATAAATTCAAAGTAAACATCATTACATAAAAGGGTACGTTCTTTTTTTTTTTTTTTTTTTAGTTTTATTCATTTCAAACGGGCCGGATCCGGCCCGCGGGCCGTAGTTTGCCCACGGCTGCTCTAGTCTTATTTATAAAGAGGCAAAATGGCCCTAGCCAGTTTGGCTCAGTAGATAGAGCATTGGCCTGCAGACCAAAGGGTCCCGGGTTCAATTCTGGTCAAGGGCATGTACCTTGGTTGCAGGTCCTCTGACCCTGTTCGGGGTGCATGCAAGAGGCAACCAATCAATGTGTTTCTCTCACATCAATGTTTCTGTCTTTCCCTCTCTCTTCCACTCTCTAAAAATCAGTAGAAAAATATCCTTGGGTGAGGATTAACCAAAAAAAAAAAAAAGAGGCAAAATTACATATCATTAAAGACATAATAAGAGCAATGGTATTAGCAGTTCAAAAAGCAAATATGAAATTTTCTGGTTCTAAATGCAATTTGCATGCTTCCACTGTTGTAGTGCTAATATTTTGCCTAATCTAATACGATTGAGTCTGAGTCTGGATTTAAATTTTGGACTTGCTGACCAATGAAGCGAAAATTTCAGTGTTCAACATTGAAATCTTTTAATATTTTCATTTTCATTTGATAATTGTTAGGCTAGAAGAGGTGGTGCTAGAGAAGTAGAATGGTATCAGAAGTGTCTGATTTGCCTTCTAAAAAAGGCAGAAAATAAGATTAAGTTGTTGGCATGAATTGCTGTCTGGTTACTGAGTAAATGTCTTTTTTGTGATAATTAATTTTTCCTTCATGATAGTGTGTGCTCTCCTCAATATAATACAGAAAGCACTAGTACCTTGGACTTGGCTAGCTTATACTTTTATTTTACTTGATTGTACATCCTCCTGTACTGAGATAAGCATCCCTGTTGGACTGAGAAACAGAGGCAGACAGCTGAAATGACCACCAGCAAGTTAAGGCTTTAGCCCTTCCCTTTTCATTTGGGGATAATCTCGATGATGCTTAGCAAAGCATTCGAGCAGCTGTGCCCCTATAGTCAGAGACTTGGATGTTTTTAGTATGGAATATTTCCTAACCTCATAGACCCACATAAAATGCAGGTGGAAACACAGCATAACCTGACATTGATTAAATTAAAATTCTGAAACCCATAGGGCAGTACCTCAAACAGGATCTCTCTGACTACTCAGTGATAGATCTCCTCTCCCACTGTATCAGAAAGAGTTTCTTAACCTGACTACTTGGCTGCCTTTCGAGTCAATGCCGATCTCCATGCTAATCTTTTTTCTCCTTTCCCTCCCAACAGCTGTCGCTGAAGTGTAGAGCTCCTGAAGTCTCTCAGTACATCTATCAGGTCTATGACAGCATTTTGAAAAACTAATAGACTGCTCTGGTGCCCTCCGGCCACCCTGTGATCGGTGCAAGCCAAGAACTCTTAACTAGAAGAAATTGTTTTGCCGTGTAGAAGCTGAACCTAAATACACTGAGGCCACCCACCAAGGTAGTGACTAGTCTAACCTGTGCTAAATTAGGCCGCAACCTGTCGGATAGTGTTAGCTTTCTGTGAACTCTGTAACCACTGCTTCAATCACTTCCCACCTTTGCCTCCTGTTGCTGCTGTCTGTCCTTACTTGTGGGCTTCTCCATACTGGGCCAATGGCTGGCGTTTTTTAGCGTAGTTTGATATTTTGTAATTGAGAGTTCATTTCAAAAGCAGAAAAAGACAAAAAATATTAAAGCAAGGAAAAGTGTCACTGAAACGTAAGCTGCACTTTATTGTTTTATATTTTTGTACATAAGAGAAATGGAGGGAGCAGTGTAATCATTGCTACAAAGTGTAAAAACAGCTGGCCGTCATTCCCGCAGTCCTGGAGGAAGACACAGCTACTTGCCCACCCTGTGAGGGGTTTTCTCATCTATGGCAACCTTGCCCCTCGTCATTTGGATTTTCACTTTTTTTTCCTTTCCAAGCTCCTTTTCTTTGTGATTCCCTCTGCCCTGTATTATCCTCTCATTTGATTGCTCTGCAGTTGGGAATAGTGGTCTTCCATGAGTGCTGTTTTAGGTGCAGGAATAGGGCCTGTTGGTACCAAGGCTGAGAGAAATCAGAACTTACTACATTCCTTTCCCCTGCTCTGACCCATTAATGACACTAATAAGGAATTTGAGTAGAGATGGGAAACAGGAACCAAAATGCCTTTCCCCCACCCCCTGTCCTGTATTTGGTTTAATTCTCAGGTCCATTTCAGAACCAAAAGTCATAGTTTTAGAGTTGAAACAGACTTTAATTAATAACTTAGCCAATGCTGTTTTTCTAAAAAAGGAAACAGTAAAAGGCAAAGGGGGTATTATTGCCTGAGGCCTGTGAGCTGTTCAGTAGCAGAGCTGGGGGACTGGGTCCCCTAAATCCCCATCAGTGTTGTTTTCACTGCAGTGGTGTCTCGGTTTTTTTCTCCTCAATGCCTTTTTCTTGCCTTCTCTGTGCCTGCTTCTTTATGGCTTTTCTCATACTCCACACTGGTTTTGGCACTTCATTCATTGGCATCAGGTGGCAGCAGAGTATCTTTTCAGTCACTTGAAGGTAAATCCAGATACCAGAATGAAGGAGTAGCTAATGTTTCCCATAGGCTCCTGAAGCCGAAATTCTTGAGGCCCCCAGCGTGGGTGCAGAGATGGGGTAAGCTTAAAGATGTCACAGATTCCCTTGGTCCCTGCAGCTCTCTGATTTGCTCTTGACTCGTGTTCTTTAGGCTCCCAGGCGATTGAGATCATCTCAGAGGGTTAAGCAGTTCTTGTCATCTCCCAAAAGATAGGGAGATGTGACATCCCCGTGCTTATTAACACACCGGGTGTGATTTGTCAATGAATGCCTTGGTTGCAGGTTCTCTGACCCTGGTTGGGGTGCATGCAAGAGGCAACCAAAAACACCAACCTGTTTAGCAGTGTTCACACTGTTTCATCTGTGGGCACTTGTGTTGCCTGGCACTCAGTATTCAGAGTCCACGACCAAGACTGTTTCTCAGCTGCCCCTACTTAAATCAGAGACATTTCAGGGTCCAAAGGCCTGATATTGGACTCAGACCTACGAGTGAGTCCCAGTGGAGAAAACAAGAGCAGAGCCCAGCTGGCGTGGCTCAGTGGTTGAGCATTGACCTATGAACCAGGAGGTCATGGTTCGATTCCCGGTCAGGGTTGCGGCGGCAGGATCCCCAGTAGAGGGGTGTGCAGGAGGCAGCCAATCAATGATTCTCTATCATCATTGATGTTTCTATCTCTCCCACTCCCTTCCTCTCTGAAATCAATAAAAATATATTTTAAAAAAACAAGAGCAGAAACTCTCCCCCAGCCCCCGTCCTGCCATGTCTGAAATGACCCCGATTTAGACCATTTGCAAAGCTTGGGGGAGTAGGTCTCCCAAAGCAGTTTCTTAAACCTTGAGAATCTCCAAGAGAAAACTTGCTGGGGTGGGGAAAGGAATTATTTCCTGCGCCTACCACCCCTCGGGCACAGAGAAGTAACACAGGGTTGTGTGTGGGAGGTGGATGGGTTGGTGGTGTGTGGGTGGGAAAAACAGGTTGATCAAGTTCCCTGGTTGGGAAATCATTCATAGAGTTTGTTGGATACAAGCAGTAAAAGTTCACACTACAAATACTGTATTCTCTTCTCAAAGCAAATTGTAGTTCCAAAAGGAGGAGTGTGTCAGGGTAAGCAGACAAAACAATTTTGTATCAGGCTATGTTCCTCCGCCCCTGAAACTAGGCTTCTCTCAGCCTCCCCAGCAGTGACCAGAACAACTGCTGTTCTCAGCTGACCTCACTGAGCCCATCTGAACTCAGCTCCTTGGGGAGGCTGCCTCCTGAGCTCCCCCAGCACCTAGGGAGGGTTCTGCTCCACAGAAAAGGACTCTCTCCCCAAGAGACAGAACCTATTGCCTCCACCGCAGCTTCCCTTTGGCCTTTTTCAAGCTCGGCCCAATTAGGGAAATGGAATGGAGATTGCCCTGCGTTCCCTCTCCTCTGCCTCAGTATGTCTTTGTCACGTCAGCTGGTGTCATACAAAGGGCAAGGGAAGCACACACACAGCCAGAACTCTTTTGCTGGTCAGAGATTCCCTGAGTGTCTGTCCTGCCCGAGCCTGTTCAGTGTGTCTGTGTTGTGAAGCTTGGGACTCTGGAGAGAAATGGGGAGGGGGGAGGGGTGTCACCCTAAGAATGCTTATCATTCTCTTGTTGTTGGGATCTGTTCTCGGGGAGGGTGGGGGTTGGGGGAAGCTTGACCTTGTGTCTTCCTCAATAAATTCTTCATTTACACAAAATGAAGTATTTGGTGTATGTACTTTGTTCTCAGAACTGATATTCTCGGACAAAACACAGCTGGCCAGGGGAGGGATGGGTGCTGATAACCACACTATTAGAACTTTTCTTTGGCTGCCTCCGGGGATTTAGCTAGACACATCAAGATTGGCCTGAGGAGAAATCCAGGGGCTCCTGTGAACCAAGCCCAGACCACTATCACCACCACGGGCATCTCGCCTCAAGCAGGGAGTGATCAGAAGGAGCCAATCTGTCTTCCCTGGCAGCTCCTTGCTGGGCTGTAGGCAGATGGTCCCATGGGCAGAAGGAGCACAGCACAGCTCATCAGTTTCCTATTACTCAGGACATTTCACTAATCCCTCCATTTATAAAAGGCTTTCAGACCTGGATTGGACTGCGTGTCCCCAAAGGAATAGAATTAATGCTGCTGGAAAGCAAACTTCCCAAGGAGTTCAGGTCACCTGCATGTGTTACTGGGGCATGTGACCCAGGTGGTACCCAGATAGAGGACCCACCCCAGGTTCTGAAATCTCCCACAGTCTGGAGTGGAGGAAAGAGGCAGAGGGATCCAACACTGAGATGCCCTTGGACTAGTCCCTGAACCTCCCCACCAATCCAGTCCCTGTAGGTGAGCACAGTCAGTGCTCGGCACTTAGGTGCTCAGAATAAACTGCTTTTATTACTTGGATCCAAACACCATGAGCGAACTTCCTTTGGCAGCTGGGAGCTTTTTGGCTGACTCTGTATTGCTGGGCGGCAGTTAGCCCCAACGGTAATAAGAATAACATTTCTTGCCGAAACCGGTTTGGCTCAGTGGATAGAGCGTCTGCTTGCGGACTGAAAGGTTCCAGGTTCGATTCCGGTCAGGGGCATGTACCTGGGTTGCGGGCACATCCCCAGTAGGAAATGTGCAGGAGGCAGCTGATCGATGTTTCTAACTCTCTATCTCTCTCCCTTCCTCTCTGTAAAAAATCAATAAAATATATTTTTAAAAAAATAACATTTCTTATTACAGAAACGTAATAAGGGAGGAGTGGGGACAGGGTGGTCTTTGTTGAGGTTCAGGGTCAAAGATGAAATGGGATGGGCCTTACTGAGATCTAATTGGGTGCACCAGCGGGGTGCATGTCAGCAGGGGCCCAGAGAATCCTTAGGGCAGAGGCTCTAAACCAGGGGTCCTCAAACTTTTTAACTGAGGGGGCCAGTTCACTGTCCCTCAGACCGTTGGAGGGCCAGACTATAGTTTAAAAAAAAAACTAGTCGGCTGCTAAGCAACAGGCAGCGGCGGCAAAAACACCCGGTGGGCCAGATAAATGTTTTCGGCGGGCCGTAGTTTGAGGACCCCTGCTCTAAACTCTTGGGTGCACATTTCTACATCACCTGAGAGCTTTCATAGGTCTGCCAGGCTGGGGAGGGGGCCGGGGGAAACTGCATTTTACGGAAGTCGCCATGCTCTCGGGGCCAGAGAGACTCACGCTGTTGGTCTGCTTCCTCTTCTACAGTGATGCTCAGTGTTTGTGGCAGTTGAAAACGGTAAAAGCACTTTTATGCTCATGATACCTGACCATCCCCTGAATTGAGCATTTTGTTCATTTTTCATGAGATGCAGTAGAGTCACGTCTTCCAGCTCCGTGTCCTTACCACTGCACTACAGCGTCCCCCTTATAGGCCCCCTCCTCCCTCTGCACTGAGCCACCAGGCCAACAGCCAATCTTGCTAAGCCCCCAAGATAGTGATATGTTACGATCCTTCTCTGCCCACAAAGTGGCAACTACAAAATACTGAGAGCTCAGGGACGCTGTTTCTGAGGCCAGAGAACAGCTGAGGACTCCCAGGTTTGAGCCGTCCTACTCCCACCTCATGCATTGATGCTTTTTCTGGTGGTGCTGGGACCCAGATTTCTATTCTCTGCCACCCTCAGCTCCAGGACCAAGAGCCTATTTATTTTAATACCTGGTGTGGCACTTGGGGAAGATCACACCTCCCCCGTTGTTACCCATTTCTACCTCCTGAACACTAATCCTAGAAACCCAACCAGCCTCCAGATATGTTGTTAGTAACCAGGATGTTTCTTGAAGTTTCCAAGTTCACTCCAAACTTGCCATCTCAGCTTCTCAATTAGCTTTTGCCCCACCATCCTTAATGCTGCCAGCAAGGGCAGCGCTGATTCAGAGACTCACGAGACCCAGGCAGACATGGGTCCCAACGCCCTAGGACTGAGACAACTCCACTCACCCTCACCCCCACTACGCAGGTGATGGGGGATGATGTTCAAGTCTAGCCTCTGGCTTTCCCTCCCTTGTTTGATTCATTCTCCACTTTCGGTCAGAGGTTCCAGGACATATGGCTGAACAGCCTCTGGAAGCTAGTGTAGGGTCCTTGGCTGTGATGGACAAGGCAGAGTAGGCAGGTTTGGGTCTTTGCCTTTTCGGTCCCACTCGGTGTCTGGACCTCAGATGCTGCGGGTGGACACACACCTGCTCCCTCAGAGCCTGAGCTTGCACCTCAGCTGTCTGGTGTCCTCAGCTGAACCAGAGCCACATGAGGCTTAAGGTCAGACAGAACCCAGGCCTCTCAAGCTCTCACCAGGCCTGGCAGATGTGCTCAATAGTTGAGTGTCGACCCTTGAACCAAGAGGTCACTAGATCGATTCCTGATTCCCTCTCAGGGCACATGCCTGGGTTGTAGGCTCGATCCCCAGTAGGGGGTGTGCAGGAGGCAGCCAATCAATGTTTCTCTCTATCCTTCCTTTCTCTAAAATCAATTTAAAAAAAAAAAAAACATTTTAAAGAAAAACTCTCACCACACTAATCCTACCGATAGTGAACAGGCCCCTGGATATACATTCTTAGCTCAAAGTGACTCTCAGCAAACTAAAATGACAACTGAATCTTATGTTCAGGCAAATTTTGCATTTTATGTTAATACTGTGTGTGTGTGTGTGTGTGTGTGTGTGTGTGTGTGTGTGTGTGTGTGTAAAATGCTTTAAATGACCTACCACTGGAGGTAGCTCTGTGTTCTAGTACAGTGGTCGGCAAACTGCGGCTCGGGAGCCACACGCGGCTCTTTGGTCCCTTGAGTGTGGTTCTTCCACAAAATACCGGCTCTTCCACAAAATACCGACTTCTGCACATGGGCCACGAAGTTTCAATCGCACTGTATGTGCGCGCCCGCACGTGGTATTTTGTGGAAGAGCCACACTCAAGGGGCCAAAGAGCCGCATGTGGCTCGTGAGCCACAGTTTGCCAACCACAGTTAACGAGAAGCTTTGGAGAAAACGCCCCAAGGTATGAGTTGAGAGCATTGCAGTTTCTTATTTCTAATCCACTTGGTCTGAGATAGAACCAGAATGGAGGGTTGTGGCCCCGGGGAGTAGGCATAAAGCTTAGGGCCCTCGGGAGAGTAAGAATTAAAGCTTTTCAGTTACACTGGGGGGATAGATAGTGCCTGGAAGGTTTAATCAAGTTAGGCACTAGGTGACCATTGTGATCTCAGGGGCCCAGTAAATCTGCTTCCCGACCCCCCCAGCCCCCCAAAGCAGCTCACCATCCTTCTGGGCCTTGTATTTGCTTTTAGCTGCTGCCATGACCTTCCTCCCCATAC